TTGGTCTTTATTTGTCGAGAGACTTTATTCCTCAATTCCCTACTCGGTTCGAAGTATAACCTGTTGAAAAGAGTTATTCTACTTTGGACTTCATTGTTTTTGGTATAAATGGACGAAGTTATCTACGACTTCGAAGTTATGACTGTCAACAGGGACGTGTGAGGTAAGTTGCGAGTGCCACGACTGTTTGTTTGATGGCAGGAGATATTTCGTTTTGCTTTCGTTCAGTACTGGACTCATTTGTTTCGCTTCTTTAATCAGTCTGAACTATAATGATTCGTTCCAAACCTTGTTTGACATCGAACTGCTCGGAGAGATCCTATCCGATCCTGACGCAGGTATTGGTAATACTGAATTAGTTTTGCGGGGTTACCACATTGAGACATAACGGCTTAAAGGTAGCTCACTTTCGTGCTATCAAGAGCAGCTTGGAAATCGACGGAAAGGTGGTCTGTGTCGATCCTCTTTTTCGCGGGTCTTTTCCAAGGTTTGACGCACGGTAAATATCTGGTCAGTTGTTGATTTTCCAAACCTAAAGCCACACTGATAAGGTCCAATCAGTTTGTTGAGGATGCTTATCCCATGGTAGTTGGCATAGATTGTGTGGTGTTCTTTTTTGCGGATTCGGCAGAGTACACTTGCATTTGTCCGACTATTCCATATTCTACAAAACAGCTGATGTATGCTCCTTATCAGTTCTTCGCCGCCGTATTTGAGTAGCTTGGCCGGCAATCCATCGGCCATTGCCGCTTTGCTGTTCTTCATGCAATGAAACATCTGGACCATCGTCATCGATTGGATAATCGGGTTAAGCATAACCTGATTTCAAAAAATTGAAGTATGCTCTGTGCATCAGTCACTAGATCACTTCTGGGGATTCTACAAGAGTATGCTCCGGTCTTGAAACCTTAAAATTACACTAAAAAACGAAATTACTTAGTGAACAGCCCAATATTTTTCCTAAAATCTTCTACAGATAATTTCCAAGGCAGTCACTTCAAACCTACGTACATTTTCGATATATAACCTCAAAATATTTTCATAGCAAGTATTCAAAAAAATGGAATGGGCTCGGAGAAAACATATGTCAAAAAATATAATTTAATATTTGAATTAATACATTTTAAATATTATACGAGGTTGTATTTTCACTTTTGGTGGCCGACAAAAAACCTATAATGGAGCCGGTAGTTTTAAATATCTGTAAAATAAAATTTTTCTAAGCAATATCTAAACATTTTTATTACTTTTAATGCACAACCGTTCAAACTTACCCACACTAGTAGGCTGTGATCGACAATGAAGAGAAATCCCGTTAAATTTGTGGCACGTTGAGCGCGCATCAGTGGTAAAAGTAGCAAACGTCTTACGGATGGCGGAACACGGTCCCAGGGGAACGCTAAATAAACACGATCAGAAACCGATTCGCTCTGCAACAAAAATATATTCACTACTTTTTACGCAAACCAGAAGCACTAATCCAACGACTAACCACATTTTTAATTTTTTCGCCACTAAAACAATAGATGCACAACTGGAAAGTGATGGTGACCAGTCCAACAGCTATCACCGGCAGCCCAGATATGTCACCCAGATTGATGAGATTATAAGCGCTGAAGCAGAGTTTCAGATAGCTAACGGAGATTTCGATGAACACGATGGGCGCGTAGAGTTCGTCAAACTCAGCCGACAGCTCGATGATGCGGCGATGGTAGTGCAACGTTCGCGTGATTCTGCTATGCAAGCTGGCGTAGTCTTCTGCGCTGTTCATAGCAGCACCCACAGTTTCCACTGCACGCTGCAGCGCGCGAAAGTGTGCGGAAATGTTGAAGATGAACCAACAAAACAAGGAATCCATGGCGGCGATGGCATGGACGGCGTAGATTATGAACGAGATGCACCAAATATAGGAGACGGTGTAAAAGAAGGGATGAGCGGTGTCGAAGGGAAAGCTGTGAAGTTATAAAAAAGGAAAGTAACTAATTATTGCACCAAAGTAATTTTTTTTTAAAATATTTTCACCACATTCTCACTTACGCTGCTTCGAAAGGCAGTATAAAGACGCTATGTTTATTGAAACAGCGGCTATATAGCAAAATGATGGCAGGCACTGTACAATACAGGGTGCCCGTTGACATGCAACAACTGTAGTAAACACGCGTGATGCGCTGTTGCCAGTCATTTTCATGCCTCCACTCTTTCCCCTCTTTGACGTTCGCTGAAAATTCACTTTCTTAAAAAAAATACTCGATTTCTTCAGTTTATCACTCTGTACCTTCAGCCGCCAGCATATCTAAACTACGTATAAGTTTAATAAAGCGTCTTCCCTTCGCCACAAACATGCCACTCTTGAACACAGAGAGCACGCCTTGCAGAAATACAGTTAACACTTTGATCGCCTTATCCTGCTCACTGGTGTAAATGTAGAAACCCATGAGGAGCGTAATGATTGCGGTAGCCACGGTCCAGCTATAGTATCTGCAGGGTGTGTTGACAATGCGCTGATCACGTTGCGCCCACAGATTAATGCCAATTATGCGAAAGCTAAACTGTTGTATTCGCAGATATTCATACATTTTGGTTTAAACCTAACGGAATGCGTGAATATTTGGTTGTTCGATTGCTTTTATATGAGCGGAAAGTTCTAACATATAAGAGATATGTTCAATCCTTGGCATATGCAACCAATCATACGTCACAGTTAATTATGATGTTTGTGGCGCTCATTACGTCTAGACACCCATTTGTTTGGTGCAAAGGTATATAATTTCGATAATACAGTATAGATTTTTTATGTCGTTTTGACGCTTACGTAAAATACACCAAATTCGTCGCCGTAGAGGTCAATGTTCCGTCTAAATACAGCTTTGTTCTAGAATCTATTTTTGTGTATAATAAAAGGCACATGGTGAATCGAAATCTTTTATATTTCTACTTTTCGTAAGTGAGTAAACAAAATACAACTTTTTACTTTTTTTGGAAGTAAAGAATTTGGGAAAACTTGTTCTTATTATTATTGGTAAATTCGTGCGGTTTTTCCAAAACATCAAAATTTTCTAAGAAAAACATGTATTATCCAAATTCTTTCCATCTGAAGGAACAACACTTCGCCTTCTCTCTCTAACAACTTGTGGATCCCACACCAAAAGACTGGAGCTGGCTTGGCGGCCGTACAGACCGAAAAGAATGGCAGTCAGAAGAGGCAAATGGCTGGGCTAGTTAAATAGATAGATGGTAAAAATTCAGGTAATGCACTGAGGCCTACGGTCTATTGTACCATCCCCTATATCACATATAATCCAGGAGCTTGTTGAGCACGACTGCGGTAATATGATCGCTGTCCCCGTAAATGTAACCTAGGGCCTTTAGCCTGCTTCTGAAAATTGGTGAGTAATCCAGAATCAGGTATTCCTGGGTTTCCTGTTCCATGTCGCAGAACCGGCAGTTTGCGCAAGAGATTATGCCCATGTTAGACAATTGCTTCCTGAGCCTGCAGTGCTCCGAAATTGAGTTGTTTTGAGGGATATAAATTTTTTCCTTAAACCTTTTGAGGTTGTATCCTCCTAGATGCAGCTTGGCATGTCGCATTCCTGCTACCTGCTGCCACTGCTGTTCTCTCCATGTAGAGCAGCTCCTTAAGGGTATGGGACCCCACTGCGATGCATTATTCTGGTCCCGTCATCTGCCGAAGAGCGGACTAGTTCGTCGGTATGTTTCGCTACCTGTTTAATCACTAGATGCAGCGGTGTGAATTCCAGAATGACTTCAATTGCTGCAGTGAGGCAAGTGCGTATTGCCGCTGAAGCGCAGATACGGGCAAGCCTTTGCAGCTTCCATAGTTGAATGGCTATTGAAGACTGTGTTGCCTTGGAAGCCCAAACAATCATTCCATAAGTGATAATAGGCCTCATGATCATGGCATACATCTATTGGCTGGGTTATATGGAGGGTGAAGCAAAAATTACGAGCCGCTGTTTTCCAAATATGGCAAATGAGGTCGATCGCTGTAAAACTGGTAAATTATTGCCTTGTGTCTAGTTGTGAATTCAAGCCATTTTTCGGCAAACGCTTGCTTCAATTTGATAAGTTGTTGTCAGTAGCGTTCCCCATTAATGGTTTCGTCTGGTTTTAGAAGCTTATGGTACAGCACGTCCTTATGATGCCACCAAATACAAAGATTTAGATTGGCTTCATGTATATTTGGCTTTCTCTTGATTTGGCCAACCTGGTTTGGCATACATAGATTTTTTGGCGTTTAGGGTTAAAACTATGGATTCATCGTCTATCACCAGTCACAATGCGATGCAAAAACGGATACTTTTTGTAGCGTTCAAGCAGCATTTCTGACATACAAAATGAACATTCAAGGCCTCTAGTCCTCAAATAATGTGTCTTTTCTTCATACGAGTATACAGAGAAAAGAAGGAAAACTTTCCACAAATACATTTTTTCAGACAAAAAGTTTTACAGATTTGAGTAAAAATCTTATTATTATTTGCGTTTCAACTTAATGTTAATGACATGTACTGAGAGATATCTACTAGAACAGTGGCTTTTTAAGGCATGTTCTGATTATTGGTTTCCACGAAAACAATTATAGACCCAATATGCTAATAATGACTTAATTGCCTTTCGATGGAGAAAATCAGTTAATGCTAGCATTGCAATGAAGTGATAGTTGTCATTGCTTCTGCTGTCTTCTCTCCGACAAAGATATTTATAATTAGAGGTTGTGAAAAAAAATATCTGACATACCATACAAGTTCAAAAACTATTCTCATCCGCAATATGTTCTTGTAGTTCTAATGGTACTATAAAAACCTTTTTTTGTGCCTTAAACTACTATTTTTTGCGACAACTCCGCCCTTTAAATTGTTATTCCAGATCCTATCTATAATTCCGAATCATTCTGCACCATTTATTAAATCTATGTTATATAATTTTAATAGAAACTGACATTATATTCAAATGTTATTGTTTAAGTTGTTGTTGCATGCGAATTACAGCTCCTTTTCTTTCAGTGCAAATAACATGGCAGTGAATGAGCCCGCAGTTCTGAATATCTGGAGGTATAACCAAAACTTAGTTATTTTCATGAACTTTTGCTGTTTTTTTTGTAACTTACCCAAACAAGTAGACTACGATTGGCTGTGAAGAAGTAGCCGGTCAAGACCAAAACACGCTGCGAGCGAATAAATGGGATAAGTAATAGACGACAATGCTTCGGTGGTAGGTTCTGCCACGGTATTAGCAAATAAATATTTTCAGAGAGTTCATCACACTAAGAATATACGTTAAGTGACATAAACAAACCGATAATTCTATAACTACGTTCTGAATACCTCACTTTGCACCTTCTCACCGCCAAAGCAATAAATCATCAATTGAATTACAATAGACGACAACAGCAGACAAATGAAGGGCACATTCGCTGGATCGGATAAATAGGACAATTGATAAGCAAGAAAACAAATTGGCAAGCACGAAGACGTGACCTCCAAGAATATGATTGGCGCATAGACAGCATCAAGCTCCAAAGCCAAGTCGATAGTTTCGCGATGATAATTAATGAGAGCGACAAAATCGCGATGAAAACTTGGATCATCGACGTGCAGTTGCAAAAGCTGTTCCAACTTTAGACGCATGATTTGCAGATGTGCCGAAATATTGTAAACGAACCAACCGAACAAACCATCGACAATGGTGATGGTATTCGCACAGAGTTGCACGAGCAAAACCGTGAGTATAGTGGTTAGAATGTAGTAGAAGGGTATAGTATAGTCATAAGGAAATCTGTAGAGAAAAGAAAGAGCAGGTTGCGTTAAAGTATCCTTACGCGGTTAAGTCAGTGGAGACTCACATGCCCGGCAGCGGAAGTGTCAGAACAACTTCATTGTACCATATATAGTAGAAGAGTAGTTTGAAGATGGGCAAAAGCACACAAAAGTTGACTGTCAGCTGGCACGAGATGCTGTAGGCCGTTGTAATCGGCAGCACCGGACGATTAGCGGCATTCCATAACTCACGCTCAAATTTGTTGCCTATATGAGCGCAGTCGTAAAATAAATTAAAATATATGAAGATTGGTTTATTACAACCATACTTTGACTAGTCGTATGCATGTAAAAAGAATTTTAAAGTATTTACCTTCCAATGCAAGTCGTTCTAACGCTTCATTTAAGCGCAAAAACCGCTTGCGTCGCGCTAAAAAGATAAAATTTTTACTCGACGTAGTAAAAAGTTGTACATTTATTGTCATGGCAGCAACTATTTTGTCTACATCTGCGAAATTTTCCATTGCGTAGCTATATAGTGCTATAGCCCATATTATAACCCCAATCATTTGAATGAAATAAAGTGCAGGATGACTGAAAGTACCCTTGGAACATTTAAGGTCAATACTGATGCCTAATCGTTCGGAAGCTAAATTGGATATTTGTATTAAATTAAACTCACTGGGTAAGACATTTTCATTTCCATGACTCACCACCAACTATCGGCTTAATATCCTGTAAAAGCGTTGTGTGCATTATATGAGGAAATTGACGGTACTAATTCTTTAGTCGACGGCGATTTAATTTTATATACGAAAAAGTTTAACCAGATCAGTTTTTGCCCTAACAATTATCACTGAAAGTTAGAAATATTAATTACAATGCAACGAGGTGTGTTAATTGCTCTTCAAAGTGCAATTAAAAAGAGTGTACGCGGCAAGCTTATTACCTTTTTGCCATAATAGTGTTCCAAAAAAAAAAAAAAAAGAAATCGATGGAAATTTCGAAGTGCTCTGGCTTAGTTGTGATTGAACTATAAGCATTCCAAAATTAAGATAAATTTTTTAAAGATTCAAAAGTAAAGTTTCTGAGAAACTAGTAACAAGACATTCATAAAAAAAATATTCTGTCCATACTTGTTTGTTTGCTTTCCGTTTCTCACTTTTGGTTAACTTTCCAATCTATAAATAAATCATGTCATGATATCAAAAGCCGGAATTGTTAACCTCGAGTATTGAAAGTACGAAGTAAATTTTTCAGAAAACTAAAATATAAAGTAATGAAAGTTTTAGGAAGTAATAACTTTATACCAATTGTCTTTTCCACCTTTGCTAGATATTTGGCCGAGTTTCTCAGGCTTTATAGACTTTTTATGGTGGAGTCTTTGAAATTGTGCTTACGAAACAAGCTCTTGACTGGTTTTCAACAGCATCTCTTTCCAATAGTAATATGTTCCAGTTTTGGTTATTGGCTGAAGATGGTCGATCTCAGATAATTTTCGAACATACCGCGAACAGAGTTTTAGTCACATACACAACTCACTTGACTACGCTCTCCGCCACTGTATATTTCAATTTCCATGAATTATGTGGAAGTTTTAAAGACTTAATTAGTTAAAAGAATTTCTGGGTCATTCATGAATTTAGTTAATTTTTCATGATGTGAGTAATATAATTAATTAATTTAACGGAAACTTTCACAGGATTTAGAAACAGACTCATTCAATCTTACTGAACCAGACAATAGTAACAACTCTAGGTAAAACTCAATAAAGCAGTTATTATTCTTTTGCGTCAATCCAATGAAGATAAGACCCGTATACATCAAGCATGAGGTTTTATTAGTCGGGATTGAGTCCAATAGTAATCTGGGAATGAGAAATATTCTAACAAAGATGACTAGATAACCTTGACTGGAATAGAAGCTATAAGTCACTTATTAATCATTTTCGTCAAGGATATGAAAATATAAACAAAGTCGACGAACCAATATGGACCCACATTTTCTTTTCAGTCATCATTAAACAAAGAAAGCGTACTTCTTCTTTGTCCTTGCTGTCGTAGACACCGCTTACGTGATTACAGCCGAGTTATAAACCGCGCGCCAGTCATTTCTTCTTTTCGCAATGTGACGCCAATTAGAGATTCCAAGCGAAGTCAGGCCTTTCTCAACCTGATCTATCCAACGGGGTAGAGGTCTTACTATGTGGTGTTTGCCGATCCTCTTTTCACGGGTATTTTCCATGATTTGGTCATTAAAAAGTGTTTAAAAAGGCCTTCAGGTAGGGAAATCTTTTAGAAGATAATCTTATAGTTAACTTAATTGTCAAGCGTTTCAAACAATCAAGGTCAAGAACAGCGATTTTTGCGGCAGACAATAGTCAACCCAAAAATGGTGTTTCTTTAAAGGTGGTTAGGAAGAATTAATAAACTTCACACACTACCGTACTTTTGACAATAATTGGAATTGATTCGTTATTAGTTTCGTGTTGTTGCAAGTACCTCAGTTGGTGAGAGTTACAGAACTTTCACACAATTTAAATATACAAAAGCATATTTTCAGGCGCTTCAACTGCTCAATATACTGGCGTATTACAAGCACTTGTATGATTATATATTGTAGTGGTAATTGTGTCATTATGTAATATTTAAATAATGATTTGTAGACAAAACAAATTGTCAACAGTTAAACGTTGGCGACGCCTCAAATCCATTGAGACAATCAAAATAGAGAAAATTGGGCTTAAGTGGCAAAATTGAAAAGTTGACTCTCGGTTAAATGGAGGTTGGACTTCATAATATAACGATAAATGATTTTATGGTACCTATATTATGATTGAAGTTATGATTTCGGCAATGTGAACTATCGTGAGCGCTACGTTTGAGCAGTGAATAAGAAGGGAGGAACTACAAGCATGAGTGTTATAACAGCATATATAGTGAGTCAAGATTCCCAAAATACAATATATATATTCCATATATATACTTTCTATATATATTTTTTTTAATATATTTATACACTAACATTCTAATTTAGAGTAAAAATCTTATGACTTTGGTCCACCCGGAAAATATTTATTCTTGTGTGTAATCATAACTTCTTATTAAAAAATTCGTATTTTGGAAATACAAAATATCTTGAGCTTTCAAGGGTTAAAAATATATTTTTAAATATACCCAGAGTAAATTCCTCAGCTCTAATAATACTTTCTCGTTGACTGTAGCGCCAGCTCCCCCACCTTACTGGTGAGTTTATGCCGGAACCTTGTTCAGTTATGCAATTGTCCATTAATTTTCGTCAAAACAAATCATTTTCGTTGAACCCTTCAAAGAGTAAAGTTTGGCAAACCGCAGCGCCGCAAAATGTTCAATTGCGATTTGGGTATTACGGATTATTTTCACTTACAAAAATTTACTTTCCATCGTCTCGGCATAGATATGACGACGAGAAGTGCTCGCGTGACCAAAATATATTTCTTAACTCTACAAATCATCGCCTTGGCCACGATTCTAATACCGATCGCAGTTTACAGTTGGCAACACATACAGGAGATTGTCGAGGTAACCAATGCAATGGCGCCGTTTATGCAGGCCACCATATCGCTTTGGAAGATTTGGCTTGTCATTTATAGACGCAAGGAAATGGCGCAAATGGTTGAGAATATTTATCTGATATCGTACAAAGGTGACTGCCGTGAAACAATATAATGTTTGTATAAAAAAAAAAAGAAATACTTACTTTTTGTAATATGGTTTTCTGATAAAGCCTCTGCGAAGGAGTTAACTCACTTGATACAAGAGAATAATCGCGAGCGTCTAATGAACACCGCCTACTATTACTCGGTGCTGAACACTGGCATGCTGGCGCTTGCGGCGCCCGTTTTGGTGAGCTTCATACAGTATCTGCGTCTCGGCGAATTCAGTTACATTGTGGTGCTCAAGGCCACGTAAGTACAGTTTCGTTACCCGTTTTCATTGTCCACTTCCGCACCTTTTCCTCAGCTATCCGATCGATTATGCGCGTCCGCTAAACTACTTTCTGATATGGCTTTGGACCGCAGTTGCCATCTATGGCGTTACTTATGGCTCAGTTTCCGTGGACAGTCTTTACTCTTGGTACATACACAACTTGGTGGGAAACTTTAAGATACTCCAGTCGAAAGTGCTCACAGCCGAGTTGGCAAACGAGCCGAGTCAACGTTGCGAACTAATTTATTATTGCATTGCGTATCATCAGCGTATTATTGCGATGACCGAGCAATTGAATATCATTTATCAGCCAATCGTTTTTGTACAATTCTCACTAAATGCTTTGCAGATCTGTTTTCTAGCCTATCAGATTGGCAGCGGTGTTGTGGACACAATGGATTTACCATTTCTATTCTTGTTCATGATTTCAGTGGGTATACAACTAATGATCTATTGCTATGGTGGTCAGCATTTGCAGAATGAGGTTGGTGATTGAGAAAATAGATCTGAGTGCAAAATCTAATGTATCCATATATATATTTTCTATAAATAATAGAGCGTAAATGTTTCGAAATCCATTTATCAAACTATAAACTCGGCGACCTGGCCAAACAAATTACGTAAAGTACTGTTAATCTCGATGATGCGCGCACAGAAACCCAGCAAATTGACTGGCATATTTTTCGACGTTGATTTGCCGCTTTTTTTGTGGGTACGTGGAGCACTTCCGCTCTTTGTTGGAGGGCTTGTGAGTCTCATAGATTATTTATTTTAGGTTTGGCGCACTGCTGGCTCTTATGTGACTCTCTTGCGCAGCATGGACCAGAAAACTATGTGAAAAGTCGGTGTTTGGAAAAGAGAGTCGAAAAGTTTAATTTTTTATTCATTTAGCCATTGTAGAGTTAACCGTACTTTAGTAAAATATATACTTAGCGCATTTTCTTACTAAAGCAGTCTTTTGTAGCATAAATAGTAGTCTTTCTTTAGCTTCCTTGAATACATTGTATCTTCGACAACGATTTTGAATAAAAATTTGCATATCTGCAGACATGTGGTAAGAATTTTTACTGTATCAAATGCAAATTTTGCCGAAGCTTACTGTATTTTACTCAAGATCTTATCATCGGTTGACTTTAAAACAGTTTTAAGTAAAATAATGCAAAAGGGCATTCCCAATTTTAATGGTAATTTTGCTGCATAGCTTTCCACAGCAACGTCGATTGGTGGTAGGAAGTCCACCACACAATGCTATGTAAGACCTTAACATCTTTTCACATGTTCTTTTTTAATCTCTTCTCCACGTTGAGTTTACCTTGTAAATAATACCATATCCTTTTGATTCGCATTTACCTATAGGTTGGCTTCTCTGACTAAAAACCGTCTTTTTATCAATAATCGATTTATTCAATAAGCAACTCCCGAAGAGCTAAACGGTAAACTGCTTTACCTTTAGAATAATTCTAGAGCCTTTAGCCTTTCTTTACACAATAATTTATGGATTATTGATATCCAATTAACTGTATACTTACGCTTTAAACGTTTGCCAACAATAAGTTCAATAATTGCAGTGAACAAATCCAACATCATCGTGTAATAGAATTTATCTGATCACCAAATGTATAAATATACATAATTAACCACAAAAGCTGGTAGAACAACATGGACATCATCACACACACGGCAAAGGATTGATTACAACAGCACAAGAAAAACAACAACAACTGAAGTGATTGTTTTGCAGCAGTGGCAACCACAGCGCCAATGAAGACAGCAGAGTCAGCATCGCCAGGCGCAGCAGAAGAAGTAGGAAGTGATTAAGTCCATATTAAGGAACCCACCAAACCACTTCTCGACAACCAAGAACACAACTAGCTTTAGCTGGATGGCTTAAAATATTATGTAAGAATGTTTGCCAAACATGTTATGCAACCAGGAAGAGATTCGTCGTGCAAATAAACAAATATGAAAAGTACCATAACCCTTTTCGCAAGAAAATAGCACTGAAGCAATGAATCAAAGCTGCGGTAAAAAAGTTGGGAAAGAAGTAATTGGTAGTAGGCTGATGAGCTTAGTAATGTTTTGGAAATACCAAAATTATTTAGAAAAATATCTAAGATTTTCTGGCATTCAGAAACTAATGGATACACCTACAAAATAAACTGATTAAGAAAAGTAGGGAGGTTTTGAAATTGAATAATCATGGCTTCTTTTTAGCCTTTCCAAAAATCGCAACAGTGGCGACGAGATGCGATTTCAGAAAGTTGAGGTATTCCAAGTTGAGCTCCGCTTCCATTCACAACATTTTTCTCCCATTTCGATGGAAGTCTGGCTTACATGCTTGAGGTAAACTCTATAGGTAATTGATAACCTCCAGTTTTTTAGATTTCACATAAACAAAGAATCAATAAAGCCGTGGCAAGAAAAATAAATCTGCAAGAAAGCAAAGCCAACAATTCATGTGTCATCCTGCTTATAAGCCAGAGATATATAAATATATGTATGTAAGTATGACGGGGCATGTTCGTAAGCGCATAAGATCACTTCTTGGATGAGCTGGTGCAGCAGAGCTTTTCATTTGCGTCCGAGTCGCCCAACCAGCTGGAGGTCTTGTGCTTTCGACCGGCAACCAACCGTCTTAGCAACACACACACACACACACACGCACTTCTATTACTATAGACACTCGTGAGGCAATGTGCAAATTCACCAACCGTCTCTTTGTCTTCACGCTGCTGGAACTGCTGGCCTTGGGAACGCTGAATGCGCCTGTGAATGCAGCAGCTATGCGAGCCCAGCACCGAAGCGCTGCAGATCCGAAATTTTTGGATCTTCTCTCGCTGAACGAAGACAACAACAACTACGATCTGCATTACGATCAGCGACAGAAGGGCGAAGAGAATTTGCATGTGCGCATGAATGGATTCTTTATCGAAATGCCCGATGCCGAAGACACAGATGTGAGCGACGAGTTGAAGGAATTACGTAAGTGCTGTTGTAAAATTATATTACATTATATTGTTTCAATTTCATAAACTTTTATAGTGTACTATGCCATACTCCTTGGTGGGAGCGAAGAAATGTTTAAGCATTTGGTAGAAAACAAAATAAGCACCACTCCAACACCCGCCAGCTTGACTTTGAGTGATTTTGGACTTTTGAATAAAAACCAATTGGACTCGGAACGGCATGCCATTGGTCAGCAGAGAGAGGACCCGGAAGCAGCAACCAAACATAAGGTAGAAGGCAGAAATGCGAATCCCCTACAGGGAAGTAGTTTGGTGGCCGTAAATCGGGAGCCAGAGTCGAAACGCGTGGGATTGATGTGAGTAGTTTTGAAAAATGTGTTGATCAAAGAATTAAAAACTACTTGAGTCTATTCGCTTTAAATTGTTCTGATTATTTTTTGTAGCACAAAACAACACTTCAACACTTTGCTGAGTTTGCTGAAACGAATGCGCCGCAATTGATCTTCGGAAACTGCTTCACATTTACTAATTGGAGTTAGCATATAAGAAAGAGTGTAAAACATGTACTGTTTTTTTTTTATTAATATCGAATATATAGTACGTACAAAAAGTGAATGTAGCTACATATATGTGAATGTTAAAGGAAAGAGCTAAAGACTGATGTATTAATTTGTAATCATATTTTTTTAAAATAAAGGCATACTTACGTATTACTAAGTACTAAAGTGAAGGAGTTTTTTTAGAAAATTTTGAAGGATAGTCATACCAAAGAAAATCGAAATTATTATCAAAAATTGTATACCTTAGATCATTACCTGGCAAATTTATCTAAGAAAGCGGTGTGAATATTTCATGATAACCTCCAAAACTATTTGCCAGATCAACTTGAAACTTACGGAGAACTATCTCCAATATATATTCGTTGGATTTATATATATATATATATAAACACATAAATTCCATTTTTTGAAATTCAGAAATCAGTATAACCACTCAAACTTACCTTTCTTTAACTTACCCAGCCCTCGATCACATTATGCCAAAGTTTTCGAAACATTAGGCGCCTGAAAATATGCATGCACTTTCGTTTTACAATAACAAAGCTTCATTTGCCGACTAACTTTGAAGGTCGTTTTGTTTGCTTGCGAAAACATTTTGCCGTTGTTATCACAAATGCCTGCAGCCTATAAGTACATGCCGGCAGTTGCTGTATTTTGTGCTGTGTCTGCCATATTGTCTGGGTGTTATGTTCTTCTTATGCTCTCAATGTGCACTCACACACAGTTTTTGTCTAAATACATATATGCATATGCATCAGTTATCGAGTCGTATTTTATGTGTTTGTTTCTGTATCCATACTTACATACATATATGTATGAGTGTACATGTTTTTATGCCCGGGGGTGCTATTTTATTGCTATAAATTTTGGCAGCATGTTTGCAGGTAAATGAATAACAACAGTTTGCAAGTTCTTGTAACTACAAATAAACTCGCAGCGACAGTCTGTATATGTATTTGCATACACATGTATGTATGTGTGCTGTATGGTGCTTGGCGTATGTGCAAAAGCAGCTTAGTGTGTTTTAATGGCATAAAATAAATGTTGAATATAAAAAGCTGGAAAAAATGAATTGAAAGCACTTTGATGTCGAAGGAATAAACTAGAAAACATTTTTTTTGTTAAATTATTTTTTTGTAACTTTTATATTAAAAAGATTAAGGCACAGAAAACCTGTTAATAAATAACGTTTACTTTTCAAGCAAATTTTAAATTTTTAACTATTTATTTATCAAAATTATATAATAAATCTCTTTATATTTTCTTAATTTTTTAATTTTTTATAATTTAAAGTGTTTTTCTTTTTAATTTTTGTATACCTTTTCATAAGCCGTAGTTCGAACGAGTATAATAGCTTTAGTAGTCGAAATTTTGTTGGTATATAAGCTTCTAACACATTTGCTTCGAATGATTCATGTTTTGAGCCATAAATATTCGCAGCCCTTATGCCAAGCATTATTCGGAGTAATTCGGAGTTCAAACGGTTAGAACTTTTGGTATGCACTGAGCTGCAAATAAGGGGTTGTTTTATGATTAGTAGGTATTTATGGCATTCGGAATTGGTAGCAATCCTTGCAGCCGTATATCTTCGCTAAGAATTTCATACTTTTCGGGTTTCCTAAAGATATATAATTCACAATAGAACATAGTGAAATTCGAATTATGGAAGACCTATCCTTGATATAAGTACTTACTAAGCATTAACGGTTCGTGTCTATAATTAATGAAAGTAGTTCATTTTGTTCTATGTTCAGGTGTTGTGCTTCCTTCTGTTAACTTTAGCAGTTTTTCAAAATAGTGAATTTTTCAACAGAGTACCTACAGAGCATGTAATAGAAAAATGTTATGTTGTCTGTTAATTATCTCAGACTCTGTTAGTGTTATTAAAACATTATGTGGTATCTCATTAAAATTCTCAGCTTCAGCCGAGTGGCTTTACTGGCTGTGAACTCGCTGACTGTCACACTGACTGTGTGCTCAAAACTAGTTAATGAGTCCATGACCTCAATAGTTTCACCATGGAATCTACGGAAACTGCAAAGCCGGACATATAGACCTTCAGTGGGGTAAGCAAGTCATGGATAATAAGCAGAAAGTGTGTGCCTGTAAGACCATTCTGGTCCAGAGCGAACCATAAAAGGTCCTCCGTACTACTTGCTCTTAAGTTGTAAAGTCAATTTCACCGTAATGGTAGGTGTCCCGACTAGACACTGTCCAATAGCTTCGCACACCCTTTGCTAAAACCTTTTGAAATAAGGGGATGTGGAATTATCTTGTGACTCTCTCTGCGACTCTGGTAGATCTTTCTAGAAGAAGACGAGATGGAATCATTTTGTTTAAGATTGAAATATCTTGTTAGACACACTCTTGGCGAACATAGCGAAGTGGTTGGGATTGATATTAGTCGCTGTAATAAATTTCTGATAAGCTCAAAATGCTTCGCCTATCTATGAGGATTTGGGTGAAAAAAGGCTAAATATCTGTCCAAGTGCGTCTTCTGGAAATATTAGTTTTATATATCCTAACACTAACGATACCATTTTCGAAGGAATTGTTTTAAAACCTGCCTATATTGCATGTACTCATCAAATTGAGCTTGACTCCCCTTGGTGGTTGGAAAAACAAAAATAAAATAGAAAAACTATTTTTGACTTGGACTTGAATTTACTCCGCTGAGGACGGAACATTATATTAGTTGAAACGTTCATATTTCGGAATATTCATAGTCTTTCGGTCCGCGTATGCACCTGAAAAAAAAAACAAAATAATATATCACACTAAAGATTATATGAGACAGATGACAGATCGAGAAGACTGCAGGAAATATCTTGAGCTGGACACCAGAGAAACAATGAAGCCTTTGTCCCGAATTGGCAAGACTACGCTGTAAGCATCTGGGGTCCCCACAGTACGATACACTGGAGAAGTTATCGATAGTGAGACCGCAGAATCTGTTGAAATTCGCGTCAAGCACAGGCATATTAAAGGATGACTACTACTCTTGGAGCAGCTGAAGTCCATCTGGTATTGAAAAGTACCAAAACTGGTCTATGCGGGCGTATTGGCCTATCAGATCAACCTAACCTAACCCAAAGGTTGTATGAGTACTATGCAAACAGCTTTAACTTTTTAGAATCAGTTCAATAAAAAAAGTACTGGAAATGTGAAGTAAACAGCCTTATTACGCAATACTAAACAGAGCATACCAGGAGTCCAAGTACTGGTGAGAGCGTAAGTCAACTAACCTGTAAGATTGTAAGCCACCCGCCGTCTGTATGTCAAATAAGAAGCTATCACCTCATTAATTTGAGTAACAAGACAATAGCAACAACAAAACAATAATAATAACGAATAAAACAAGCAAGAACATGGACAACTTACGCCCCTTAAATATGTCTATGAATACGCGAAACTTTGCTGTCTGCGCCGCAACGGTGTTGCCACACAATTTATTTATAATTTTGCAACCGCTAATGTTACTCGCGCGAGTGCCGCGGTACATACACAGCTATTTTGTGTGTATATGTATGAACAATGCTTTACGCCTAAAAGTATGCAATTTCGCGCAGCGGTGTTTTATTTGTCGGCTGGTTTGTTGTATAAGTGTATGTCTATGTAGTAGTGAGTTGTTTAGCGGCGCTCAGCAAAAGTTGCCGTTAACAAAGCCGCCAAACTTTAAATGGCAACCGATGCGCCTAGAGACATGCTAGCCTGCGCTGGCGCGTCTTGCATTTCTAACAACTCGCCGCTAAATTTTTATTATTTTTTTCTAGTCGCCAAACTTTTCAAAGTTAAACTCTTCGCAGCGTCGGCGTAGTTGTGGCTGCTAGTTGAAGCATTTTTCTTGCCTATTTCTGCAGTTTTAATAAAATTTCGGTGCTTACTATAAACTGGAGTTAGTGAATTTATTTCTTAAACAAATCGCTTCCTGCTAATTTATGGCGAACATCTCGAAGTCGGTTAAGAATCTTGTAAAAGCACATTTCAGCGTACTAAAATGCATTTTAGAAATTCAATTTGCATGTTAAGGCCCTCCCGCAGCGCTTCATACGTCGCTTCAATCGTTGCTCTGCTGCCGCATGTTGTCGCATATGCTGCTTGTTGCAAGCACTTGTGGCACCGTAACTTTGTGGTTTATCCCAATTCGTTTGCGTATTCTTTGTATGCATGAATTATGTTGTTTTTGTTCTTTTTTACTCACAACTGTCTGATTGCATTGCATTGCATTCTCGCTTGCAATTTGATTTTGAACCACTTCCCTCTTGCAGCGTCGTTAATTTAGTTTTGTACTCAGCGCCAGCGCTTTGCTATCATTTACAAGCTTTTACATTCACACACACCTATATACACACACATACATTGCAGTGAAATTGCGGTATTTTATACCGTTTCTCTCCCACATTCATGTGGCTTGTGGCGCTTTGTTTATGGCATTCGCAGCTCACCGAAAATTACTCGAGTGAATTCAAGAAAAGTGTGTGTGGCAGAGAGTGAGCGAAAAACTATGTGCTGTTAACTTCTCCATTTCGTTCAAAAGTATATTCGTGACATAAATTTGCAATGCAATTAAGAGAAGACAATCGCAATGTTAGAAAGCACTACTTTCTTACTTCTTTACTTGCTGCCTTATATTTGGAAGATTTTATTCTTAGTTCAAATTCGTTTGGGGTACATTTATTTCGACGAGAGGGGGGGTTGAAATATGCAAATGTAAATACTTTTCAGTCCATAATCTACTTAAGATTTATATTTTATGCAAAAATAAGCTTTTAACGCTATAATTCGATTAATTATGGCTGTGCGCCTGTGCATATGCAAGGTTTTTATAAAAGTTGGCTTTTTTTCTTAAAAAGTAGCAAATTGAATGCTATTATAATGTAATACTGTTTAGCTTATATAGATTTTGGTTTCACTATCAATATGAAATAATTGTTAAGAGTTTGTGAAACGGGGACCACTCTTCCTATTATAGATTATTTTAGTCTAAGACTAATTTAGTCTCAATTTTCTAAGCTAAAAACCGGAATTGTGTTTAATTTACCCTAAGCTCTTTATATTGCTGCATTACCAATATTTTTTTGTATTTCTTGGTAAGGAGGTAAGGAAAAAAAAACTGAGCTGTAGATCGCCTATAAGTATTACTCCTTTTCGGTAATTGTGTAAGA